GTGCGTGCGTGCGTGCGTGCGTGCGTGCGTGCGTGCGTGCGTGCGTGCGTGCGTGCGTGCGTGCGTGCGTGCGTGCGTGCGTGCGTGCGTGCGTGCGTGCGTGCGTGCGTGCGTGCGTGCGTGCGTGCGTGCGTGCGTGCGTGTGACCGTCTGTGTGTCTGTTCGTCTGCGTGTCTGTGTGTCTGTGTGCCTGTGTCTCTGTGTCTGTGTTTGTCTGTGTGTGTGTGTCTTTGAGTGTGCGTGTGTTTGCACGTGCGTGTGTGCGTGTGCGGAGGGGGGGCCCTCTGCGCGAACGGCGTCTGGAGCCGCCGACCGAGCCACGCACCAGGCAGCCTCCGATTGTTTTCTACGTCACCGCCCGCCATCTGTCCGTCACTTCTGCCCCTCGCGGAGCCGCCCATTTTGCGATTGTCTTCCCGGGCATCGCGTTGCACAGTTGCCCTCCCCATTTTGTGCGTGCCTTCCTCTCGGGGCCGGCGCCTTGCATGGCTGTGCATCGTTTTTGCTCTTGCGCCGCAGCTCTTCGGCGCTGCCTTCACCAACAATGCTTGATGGTAGTTCCCATTAGCGAGCTCGTTAATCTCCTCCCTGCGTTGGACCAACCGGCTGGGAAGCAAAAAAAATGTGTTTATGTGTGCACGCATGTTTGCGTGTATATGTGTGTGTGTGTTTGTTTGTGTGTCTGTTTGTGTCCGTATGTGTCTATGTGTGCGTGTGTGCGTTGTGTGTGTGCCTGTGGTTGTCTGTGTGTGTGTCCTTTGTGTCTGCGTGTGTGCGTGTATGCGTGTGTGTGTGAGCGTGTGTGCGTATGTGTGTGTGCGTTTGTGCGTGTGTGCGTGTGTGTGCGTGCGTGCGGGCGTGTGTGCGTGTGGGCGTGTGCGCGTGTGCGTGTGGGTGTGTGCGTGTGTGCACACAATGTGGCCAATTCGCTTAGAGCGTACCTCGCCTTTGTAGCGCTGGGCCCGCTGACTGCAACCCATCGGCGCGCGTGAAACATGCGAGTGTGTGTTGTGTTTGTTATGTGTTGTGTGTCCGCGTGCATGTTTCAAAGAACACAATAAGACAGACAAGGCAAGCAGAAAAAAAACAATAACAAGGTCGCGATAAGAGCACCTGACGCCCAGGGCTGGCCGTCCGCCGCTTGCCTGTCTCCTCTCTACATGTTCGTTTGATGTCGCACGCGGGCAAGTTCGACCCGCGCGGAGCAGCCGGAATCGAGGACCGCACTGTTGCCTCGCTGCGTGCCGCTGACCAATTGTGAGTCATGGTGGGTCCATAGCCTTGTGGCTCAAATTGGGCCGGCTGGCAGGCATGGCCGTGAGAGGCGCCCACGCTAGCGATGGCCAAGCGGAGGTGCGGGACCGGGCGGCCCGCGAATTGTTTGTTCAGCTGCAGGGGGGGCAGCTCCTGTGGAGATGCAAGCAGGCGGTCAAGGCCGAACTCGTCCGACCGCGCACGGGTGCAGCGCCAGCCTCCGTGGCCGTCGCCGAGGCCATGCGTTCTGGCGGTCTTCGGGCCGAGATCAAGACGCTCGCTTTCGAGCAATTCCGCCGCCAGCGCCGCGAACAGCGACCGCTCAACCCGCTGCTGTGCCCAGGCTTGCTGCCACCGCACTCAGCTGCAGCCAAGGTGACGGCCCCTCACCTGGACGCGGTCGAATGGGCGCGGCAGCGTTGGGCCAGCCTCGCGCGGGAGCGCTTGATGGAGCTGTCGGGCGAGCTGCGGCAGCCGCTCATGCGGCCGCGGCCGCTGCCCGGCCAAGGCCAGCGGCCAGGGGCTACCACGCGCGACGAGGTGAGCACGCGGCAGGTCATCGGCCTGGACAGCTTGTACAGCGTGGTCACCGTGGAGCTGCAGGCGCACTCGGACGCGGCGGCCGGCGGCCTGCTCGGGCGGGCGCCATGGTGGGGCTCACTGGGCGTGCACTTGCATGCGGATTCCTTTGAACAACTGCAGCGGCGCTATGCGGACCTGAGCCCCAGCATGCCCCACCTGGGCGTTCCAGCGCTGCGCGGCCGCGAGCGCGAGCGGGCAGCACTGCTGGAGCGCCGCACCGTGGCCTGCGAGGAGCTGCTCGCCGAGCCGTACGCCCCACAGCTGCGGGCCTGCGCGCGCAGGGGCCTGCCGCCGGCGCTGCGGCGCGCTGTATGGGCGGCCTGCTTGGTCGTTGAGCCCCCTGGCGGCGGGGGCTGCGCGGCCGCGGCGCTCCTGGAGGAGGTCACAGAGGCGGTTCACGCGTGGGAGTGCATCACGGACGATGTGCTGAGGCTGGACGTGGCGGACTTCTGCGCAAACAACGTCTGCTATTTTCCCTTCGACGAGATCGTCGAGTCGATCTGCCTCGCCTGGAGCCGCGACGTCGCAGTGGCGGGCGACTGCGATTGCGGCCCGCCGCAGCCGCCAGTGAGTGCCGACGCCGAAGAGGGGGGAGGCTCGTGGGTGCCGCCCTGCGGCGTCGTGCCCTTCTCCAGCTTCACCTGCTACGCCTGCCCTTTCGCCTTTCTGGCCGACCGCCTGGACATGGCGTACCCACTCTTCCGGGCGTTCTACTGCCGCCACTTAAGCCGGCTGCACACGATCTCATGCCAGAGCGGGACGCTCTTGCCGATCTGTGCGCTCTTCGAGCACCTCGTGTCCGTGAGGGCGCCGCAAGTCAGCTTCCACCTGGCCCAGCTGGGGCCTGAGGTGGGAAGAAGCAAACAAAGCGCAAGCATACAATGTGCGACGCCCCGCGCGGATTTCTTGGATCGGCGCTGGGCGCCCCTGGCGGCGCCTCCAGCGCCGCCCCAGGCGCGTTCCGCGCGCCAGGGAGGCGTGGGATATAGCGCCGATCTAAGACATCCGCGCGGATGGTCGAAAGAGTATGATTATACAGCTGTTTGTTCCTCTGGAGGTGGCGCCCCTCAGGCTGGCATTCCCATGGATCCTCAAGGGCTTCGTCGGCGTCCTCCGGGCGGACCAGGTGCTCTGGCTGTGGGACTTGATCGTTGGCTTCGACTCGCCCGAGATCGTAGCTGTCCTCGCCGCGGCCATCCTCGCCTTCAGGGCTCGCCTCCTGCTCTCTGCTCAGAGCGCCGAGGACGTGTCCCTCGTGTTCTGTGATCTCTCTGGCCTGGAGGCCTTGCCACTGATTCAGGCATTCCTCTTCCCCGCCGAGCTCGGCGGCAACCCGCTGGAGCTATGAGTCCGTCGCCTGCCAGGTCCGCGTGCCCTTGCGCCATCCACCAGGACCTCGATGCTCGCGCCCGTCTTTGAGCGCAGAGCGCATCGCAGACGCCGGGGCCCGGCCGAAGCCGCCTGACGCGCTGGAGTACTGGAGCTGCTCCACTCGCCCGAGGTTGTGGCGTGGTGCCCGCTGGCCCAGGCCGCAGAAGGCGGGGCTCGGCTCGAGAAGGTCGTCCGCTGTCCTCACGGGTCCACATCTTCGTGCAGTTACCGACCATCCCAGCGATCCACATGCTGTGCCTGCCTGGGCCATCCAGGCGGAGGTGGCGCTGGGGTCGACGTCGCGCAGGCCGCCTCGCGGGGATCCCGCACGGCGGCGCAGCGGCCGAGCCTTGCGGCCGTCGTTGAGCCTGGCCGCTGCGCCAGAGTGAAGTCGGGCATGCCCCTCTGCAGGAGGGAGCTTCAAGAGCAGTTTTGAGAGACCGTCTGGGGACGCTGTGTCCCGCTCGCTGATGGACTGGTTCTGATTGGCTCTCGATTCTTGCGTTGACCATTCTTCCAAGATCCGCCTCTAGGAGGACATGCCTCCTCCTCCTGGCCTCGTCCTGAGGCTGCGCCCCCCTTCTCCTCCCCCTTCTCTGCGCAATTCCAGCTCTGCGCGGCCCGCTCTGCTTCGGCCAACAAGAGGTGCGCCCTCGCCCCGCGGAGCAAAAAAAAAAAGCAGGGGGACAGATGCCCGACCCGAAGCTATAAATTAGACGGTCGGGCCACGAGGGCTCGGCCGAGAAAACCTCCCCCCCCCTCGGGGCTCGAGAGAGTCGGAGCTGCACTCGTGAACCGCCGGCTGGCGCCCTCCCCCCCCCCCCCCCCGGCGGCCCGTGCGCCGCGCAGCCGGCGTGGCTCCCCGTCGCCCTCGCGTCCTGCGTTCCCTCCCCGCGCGCTGCACGCAGGCGCGGGGCCCCATCGACGCCGTGGGTGCGCCCTCGCCTGGCCTTGGCCTTCACCGAGCACGCTGCGCTGCTCTCAGGAGGGAAAGAGACACGGACGCAATCAATCGTCGACCCCCAGGAAAACATGCGAAGATATGGGAAGTGGGGGGGAGACAAAAAAAAACAACAAATATGGGAAAAGATGGGGCGTCTTTTTATTTGTGTGTATTTATTTGTGTGTCCTGGGGCCCCTTCATACTCGCAAATTGCCTACTCGCACACGTCTGGAAAAAAACTGGTCTTCCTCTGCATAGGGGATCGTGAAGCCCTCGCGGCGGATCCGGGCCATCTGCGAGCAGTTACTCTGCGCGTAGTGGAGCGCGCTTGCCCAGTCCTACCTTCGCTGGGTAGCGCAGGAACTCCCCCCAGCCTCCCTGGGAGCGCCTTGCTCTTCTGAGGGCGGCATCCTCGGGGGCAACGTCAAGGGGACGGGCTCAGGGGGGACGCATCGACCCCCAATCGCCGACTCACTGCCGATGGGGGCCCGATCGTTCACCCCACCCAGGAAAGTGCGGACTCGCTGTCCGGGGCATGTCGCTAATCCATCGGCGATGTATCGCCGATTCCAGGTCGACGTCTCTCCCATTGACCTGAGATGGTCCCCCAACTAACGTTGCCCCTCACATCCCCACTCCTTGCTGCTACAGTCAGCTTGCTGGTGGCGCTGGCATGGGGGGGAGGCCAGGCAGGCAGAGGAGGGAGGCAAAGGAGGCACGAGGAGCGAGGCTTCGAGGTTCGATGATCGACGTCGAGGTGCGAGGACCGATGATTCTTTGGCGCGCGACCTTTCGTCACGCAGGATGCTGCACCCCTGGCCTCACCCCCACAGGTGCGGCACCACTCGCCGCGCCCCCGTCACCGCAGGGACCGCCCCCCCCTCCCTGCGCCATGAATCAGCCGCGCGCAGAGGGGGGTGGGGGGAGGGGGGAGGGCTTCTTAGATGCACCCCTGCTTCTTAGAAGGCGCGGGCCTTATGTATAGATGTAAGGCCGGCGCCATCTAAGAAGCAGCCTCCTTCTAAGCCCTCCCCCCTCCCTCCACCCCCCTTGTGCGCGCCGCCAAACGAAGCAAGCGGGGCCCGAGGGAAGGGGCTGGGCTTGCGGGAAGGCCCCCGGGGTCCAGGACGGGCTTCCTTCAGGACACGCGTCCGGCTCCTCCGCCCCAGCCTCACCTTGGGGCCGCAATTGTGGCAGTCCGACGCCTGGCAGGCTCCATCTCGCAGCCTCCCGTCACGGCCCGCACTCGGCGCTCTCCCTGTGCTGGCACCCGCCCATGCTGAGCCCTCTCCGTTTGCCTCGAGCCCCTGTGGTGCTTGCAGGCTTCTGGCCCCCCCCCTTCCATCCGGACGCCCGAAATGGGTACGGAAAGAATGGGTTCGATACCCAACAGCAGTTCCTGTTCATTTTGGACAGGGCTCGCTGTCCGCGCCGCCGCGGCCTGTCTCCACTTGAGACAGGAAGGCCGCCTTCCCAACAGCGGCCGCTCTTGGTTTGGGACAACATTTGTTGTTGGGCATTGTACCCATTCTTTCCGTACCCATTTCGGGCGTCCAAATTCCAGCGAAGGCCCCCCGCGGGGCCCCCGCGGGGCCCCTTCGGCTTCGCCCCCCGGGCCCGCTCCCGCCGCCACCCGCTCCTGCAGCTCTTGGCCGCCCGCTCCCCCACGGCCAGGGGAAGCCCCCCTCCCGCGCCTCTCGGACCCCTGGGCACGGGGGGCCCGCCGCCCCCGTCTGCCTTCCCCCGCGCGTCTTCCCCGAGCTTCGGCCCTGCACTAGTCGGGCCTGTCCCTCTGCAAGAGGAGTATTGAAAAGTGGTCAAACACTAGTCAGGGACGATCTGTCGAGCACTTGTTCAGCATTTTGGAGCGTGGTTTGTAAGGGGGCATGCCCGACCTGACCCTACTCCCCTCGCCCATCATACACGCCGGTCGTTGAAAGCAGGTATTTCTGGATTCCCAGATCCCAATCCACTTCGAGCGCCTTCCTGCTTCAAGAACCGATCTGCGTTTGCTGCGTTTTGCTATTATGTGGGAGGACCTGAACCCAATCTAGTTTATCCGCCTTCCTCATTCATGCTTGTACCTACTTCTTCCGACCAGCGTGTACCCCCCCCCCCCTCTGTGCCCCTCCTCCTTCTTCCCTCCAAGCCAGGCAGGTCGTGCGGGGAGGGCCGGCAGGTAATGGACGAGCGGATGTTCCAGGCTCCAGCCGCTTCGTTCCTCCTCCTCCTCCCCCTCCTCCTCCTCCTCCTCCTCCTCCTCCTCCTCCTCCTCCTCCTCCTCCTCCTCCTCGTGTGCATCCTCCTGGGGCCGCGCGCCCGCGGGGCTGCGAACGAGCTCATCCCTCGTCCTTCCCTCCCTCCCTTCGCTCTCCTCCTCTTCCTGCTCGTCCTCCCTCCGTCCGTCCGTGGCTAGCCACGTATAGCCTGTGGCGCCCAGGACACTCCAGGGCGCTCCTTCCGCCCGTGGCCGTTGGGGCGCAGGGGCCGAGAGCGAGATCGCCGATCACCCCCCCTCCCGACAGAGAGCACCTGCTGCCATGGCGGCCCCGCAGCAGATGTACGTGGTGAAGCGCGACGGGCAGCAGCAGGAGGTCAAGTTCGACAACATCACGAAGCGGATCAGGGCGCTGTGCAGTGGCCTCGAGCCCAAGTACGTGGACCCAGTGCCCATCACGCAGAAGGTGATCGAGGGCTTCTACGCGGGGATCTCTACGTCGGAGATCGACGTGCTCGCTGCCGAGACCTGCGCGTACATGTCCCAGAAGCACCCCGACTTCTCGACTCTCGCCGCCCGCATCGCGGTCTCGAACCTGCACAAGAACACGTCGAGCTCCTTCTCTGAGACGTGCCGCGTGCTCTACGAGTATCGGGACGCTCAGGGTCGGCCAGCCACGCTCATCGCGGAAGATGTCCACAGCTTCATCCAGGAGAACTCCGAGCGTCTGGATGCTGCCGTCCAGTACCAGAGGGACAGCGACTACGATTATTCCTCTCGCTTCGCGGGGTGCACGTCCGGAGCACGTACAGTCACGTCGCGGGGCCTTCTGGGAGCCTCTTGGGGGCCTCCTGGAGGCCTCTTGGGAGCTTCTTTGGGCCTCTTGGGAACTTCTTCTGGCCTCTTCCCCCCCTTTTTTGACTCCCTCCCCATCTTCCCTTCCAGCACTGGCTCTAATCATGGGCGCCGCCGTGACCAACTTCCACCTGGCTGGCGCTGCGCCGCAGTTCGTCCAGGGGGGGAAATAATATTACACTCCAGTCGCCATGTGGCCTTTGGGGGGCTTCTTTGGGGCCTTTTGGAGGCTTCTTGGGGACTTTTCGGAGGTCTCTGGGGGGCTTTTTGGGGCCATTTGGGGGCCTCTTGGTGGCCTCTTGGGGCCTCTTGGGGGCGTCTTGGGCCGTCTTGGGGCGCTTTCGCGCCGTTTCGCCCCTTCGGAGGCCGTCTTGGGGGCCTCTCGCGGCCGCCTTGGGGCCCTCTTGGGGTCCTCTTGGGCCGTCTCAGGGGTTTCTTGGACCGTCTTGGGGGCCTCTTTGGGCCGTCTTGTGGCCCTCTGGGGCCGTCTTGGGGCCCCCTTGGGTGTTTCTTGGGCCTTCTTGGGGCCATCTTGGAGGCTGCTCGGGCCGTCATGGGCTTCGGAGAGGCGAAAAAGGCGAGAAAGCTAAAATCTTTCAAAAACGTAAGGAAAATCGATGTTTTTGGCCTCTGGAGGCGCTCTTGTGGGCGCTCTTGGAGCCCTCTTGGGCCGTCTTGGGTTCTTTTTGGGCCCTCTTGGGGCCATCTCGGGCCGTCTTAGGGCCGTCTTGGGCCGTCTTGGGGCCATCTGGAGCCGTCTTGGGGCCCGTTGAGACCCCCAAGAGGGCCAATGTGCCGAAATCATTGATTTCCCATACGTTTTGGTACGTTTTGGGGCCCCAAAAGGGGGGCCGCCAGTTTGGTACGGCGCTGTGGCGCGACTCCAGGGGGGGGTTAGGGGGGGAGACATAATAATGTAATACAATACAATATGTAGCAATTATGCAATCATTGGACACAT